CCAAAAACTTAAATTTGCAATTCAAGTTGGGACGAAGAGAGTAGCAAATTAGTCAGCCCACATTTACAACATTTTTAGTGAGCATGCACATGCATTTACGTTGGAAAAGTTTGGTCTCATACCCCATACGTGTACATTTAATTTAGAGTTTCACTTCTTGCACACCATTAATGCATTTTACGCCATGCACAAAACATTTACACGTTTATACACCAACCAGTTCGTGATGCAGTGTCGGAGGTGCCAGTAACGGCCTGTAACGGCCGGTAGCGGTGCGTAGCAGGCGGCGTAGCGGATTGTAGCGGTAGCGTAGTGGATTTCGGTGTGATTTGAATTTCACACCATAATAGCGACCCGTAGCGGTAGCGGAGGCTACCGCAACCGCTATATAGCGGCCGATATAGCGGTAGCGGACCGCCATTTCACACCATGCTTCTGACTTAATACACTATTGCCTTTTTTTAGTTGTTCAAATTGAATCAATTAATGTGTAATTCAGGTTTCTCTTGACTATCACAGCTATTTTCACTCGATAGATATTATATATACAATTGATTTTTAAATAATATTGCTTTACTTAATAATTAGTTAATCACCTCATGAATTGAATAAGGTGTTGTTTGGGTTCGAGAAATATTTTCTATGAGTTATGGTTCTTTGGATTATTTTATTTGTAAGTGTTGTTTTTATTCCGAACTGAATGTTGCTTTGGTCGTGTTTTTGGTTCCTAGCAGAATAATTCTAGAATTTAAGGCATGTGATGAGAAGTCTGGACCTTAGGGGTGCACACGAGCCAGAGCCCGAGTTTATGTAGGCTCGAGCTCGAAATATATTGTATTGGCTCGAGCTCGAGCTCAGATCGAACGAGCTTAAAAAATCCGAGCTCGAGCTCGACTCGCAAATATTGACATGGCTCGATTCGGCTCGACTCGGCTCGATAATTTTGCTTCGTCAATTCAAATGTTACAAGTTCGATATGATTAACTTGAAAGTTCGGGTTCGAACTCGAGCTCAAGTATGAAACAATCTTTGAATATTTGTGGTTAGTATTTGCAAATTGAAATTTACATGCCCAACAACTAAAAGTAGAGTAAATGTTATCCAAAATAAATAAAAAATGATCAAACTATGATGGTTTAACTGAAACTAGAGTTACGGGAAAGGAAAATATAATATCTCCCCGATCCTCATTAATATATATATATATTAATTAATTAATATTATATATACTAATACATATTATATATTAATTTATATTAATATTATATATATATATTAAATATATAAATATACACACATATAAATATACACACATATAACACTAGGCTCGTTTATGGCTCGACTGCTTAACGAGACGGCTCGAGCTCCAGTTTGACCGAACTCGATTCGAGCTTTGACCGAGCGGTTCGACTCATTTGCACCCCTAAGTCTAGTTTGTCTGTCATTAGCTCAGGTAAGCCCATTATAGGCTCAACGAATCTTATTGCTTCTACTGAGATGATAGATTTTAGGAAAAATTGACAACAATAATCTCATCTTTCACTCGTCTTCTCATAATAATCTCACATTTACGTATTCCATTAATAATCTCACCTTTGCACCTCATCTTTTTTCGTTGGACCCTGACCTGTTGATGACATACTTAGGGATGGACCGGTTCCGGCCTACCTGGCCCGGGAACCGGACCGGTCTGCCACTGTGCGAGCCCGGCCCGGGCCTAGGACCCGATCCGGGGTGTTTTGGGGGTGGGCTCGGGCTGCAGGTTTCTTTGTAACCGGCCCAGCAGATGCGAGATCGGTCCGGGCCAAAATTTATTTTTATTTTTTTTCAAAGTCTTTGGGTGGTATGCGGGTTGGGCTGGGTGTTTTGGAGGGGTTTGGGGTGTGTGGGGGTGGGGGTAGGAATTAATTAGAAAAGCAAAAAAAACGCTACCCGAGCCGGTCCCGGGCCTTAACCCCAAATACAAATGCCCGGTTTGGACCGTCCCGGAGCCTAGCCCGGCCTGGAACCGGTCCATGCCTAGACGTATAAATAATCTTATATAAATACTACACAAGGTTTTTTACTCTTTCTTTGAAAACCTTATATAAATAATCTCACCTTTCACAAATCTACTCAAAACGATCCCATTTTTCATTTTTTCTTTTTTCTCCCTAAAATATTTCTTTATTTTCATCCCTAGACACTTTATTCCTTTTTCTATCTTTTTGTTCTTATTTCATTTTCATTTTTATTATTCTATTTCTTACTCTATTAGGAGATTTTTTTGAAAAAATTCTTTTCAAAATAGCTCTTTTTTGTCATTTCTTTCTTCTTTCCTTATTGTATTTCATTTTCCTTTTTATGTTTTTCTTCTTAATCATTCTCTTCTTATTAAAGATCTTTTTCTCACTTTACTTTTTGTTATGTTCTCTTTTCATTCTCACTTTTCCACTTTTATATTTTCACTTTTAAAAAAAGATCTTTAATAAGAAGTGAATGATTAAGAAGAAAAACATAAAAAGGGAAATGAAATAAAAATACGAAAAGAAAAAGAAAATGATAAAAAAGATCTACTTTGAAGAGAAATTTTACAAAAAAAAAAATCTCCCCTAATAGAGTGAGAAATATAATAATAAAAATGGAAAAGAAATAAAAACAAGATGATAGACAAGGTAATAAAAAATGTCTGGGGATGAAAATAAAAGAAAGAAAATTTTTAGAAAGAAAAAAGAAAAAATGAAATATGGGACCGTTTTGAACAGATTTGTAAAAGGTGTGATTATTTATATAAGGTTTTCAAAGAAAGAGGAAAAAATCTCGTATAGTATATTATTCTGAATTACGTAAATATATAATTATTATGAAAAGACCCGTGAAAGGTGAATTATTCTTGTCAATTTTTGTCAGATTCTAAATTTAGTTCGAGAGGTAAACGTAGTTCGAGAGGCAAACGATAGAAAGATAATTTTTTATCGTTTTGTTACTTTAAATTGTGATGATTTAATATAAGTCACCTCTCGTGCAAGGTACGAGTCTACGGCTAGTTAAAGGATAATAAACCGGTTGTGGTATTGGCCTATTGGGGAGGCGGCTGATAGCTGGAGCGATCCCTTATGCAGTTATGCTCGATGAAGAGTCCGTTTGGTGATTTATTTTTTCCGGCTTATCGAGCTTATCAGTAAGCTTTTTCATCAAACATGTAATTTTTGATTTCGCGCACTGAATTATGTAATAAGCAGAAAAAGTAAGGTTGGAGTTACTTTTCTGGCTACATTGACTGAAGTTACTGTAGAGAAACATTATAGCTATTTTTTCATATAATTTTTTATTTTATTTAATAATAACAAATATTTTAAATATAATTTTTTTCATGAATCAGAAGAATCAGCCAATACAACCACTTCATCCAGAATTTCATAAATTTCAGCAGAATCAACCAATTCAGCCAATTTTAGTATTACAAAACGGGCTCTAAATGATACATATTCTTTTTTTTTTTGCTTTTTGTGAGGTGAAAGAGTAAAATTTGTCTGGCTAGGTGGAGTCGTACAAAAAATTGGATGCAGGGTCGTACACAATACTACCTCTCTTCCATTAGATTTCACCAAATTTTTTTTGTTTGAATCGATTAAATAAATGAACTGTGATTCCGTTTATTTCTCTCCCTTCTACCCAAATATGAATCAAATAAATTTTATATTTTTTATTTTATAGCCAATGCAAAGATGTCAATGTCTAATGAAATGGAGATAATATTATAGGGAAAGGGGACAAATAAAGTCATGTACTAATCAAAAAAGTCAAATAAGGCCTTATTTATGAGGCTATGTCCGGCCTTCGCCATTTGGGGTGGTTCTCGTGGAATTTTTTGATTAATTTTTTTTGACCATCTTATTTATCAAGTCTAGTTTACTCATACCAAATTTCAGATAAAAATTTAATCGAGAAGACATTAAAATGAATTCTTGAAAATAACTGCGCTTTTAACTGCGCAATTATCTTCAAGAATTCATTTGAATGACTTCCCGATTGAAGTTTTAGCTTAAATTTGGTACGAGTAAACTAGACTTACTGAATAAGATGGTCAAAAAAATTCATCAAAAAATTCCAGCGAGAACCAACCCAAATGGCGAATGCCGGACAGAGTCTCATAAATAAGGCCTTATTTGACCTTTTTTTGTTAGTACGTGGCCTTATTTGCCCCTTTTCCTTAATATTATATGTTTCGAAATTTCCTCAAGCATGACGCATCATTAAAGTAAATTAGTCAAGTTGATAAGCATCACAAGCAACTACCAAAGTTGCAGACGAAGCTTGGAGAAATCTGTCGGAAAAAATCAGTTCTAAAACCGCAATGGAAATTGGAGTAGGTGAAGACTTCCCAAACCTTCCAAAATCATGTCTATCTAAATGGTTAAAGATAATATGTCTACATATATATTGACAGCGCAGAGCTCTTTCTCGAATCTCGATAGCAGAATGGGTAGATAAAAAAAGTGGGAAAAGGGTGGAATAAGCCCTCACAACTAACAGAAAAAGTGAAAATCATATTTTTTATAAGAAGTTCTGTCCGACCGTCGCCATTTGAGCCAGTTCCCGGTGGAAGTTTTTGATAAATTTTTTTGAGCAACTTATTCATTACGTCTAGTTTTCCAATAACAAATTTCAGCTAAAAATTCAATCGTGAAGGCAGTAAAATAAATGTTTGAAGATAACTGCGCAATTAAACAGCGCAATATATTTCAGAAAATCATTTGACTTCCTTCCCGGTTGAATTTTTACCTGAAAATTGGTATGGGTAAACTAGACTTAATTCAGAAGATGCTATAAAAAAATCGTCAATAAATTCCACCGGTAACCGTCCCAAATGGCGACGTCCAAACAGAATCTCCCATAAAATGGGTGATTTACACTTTTTCAGTTAGTTGGCCCGCTTATTTGCACCTTTTCCCCCCAAAAAAATTAATAAATCCCAATCTATAAATACCATTCTTTCCCCGACTCCATTTCTTCATTATCACAGCTCAAATCAAAACCATATACTTCGTATATTCTTTCATTAATTTTATTTACAGTTTTAATTACTGTCTGCTTTTCCAACGTCACTAAGCCGTATTAAAACGTACCATGACTACTCCCGACTTGAAGAACGGAAACAATGAAATTGTTCGACCAATTGTCAATTTCTCCCCTAGTCTGTGGGGAGATCGCTTCTATTCATTCTCCATCGACCATCAGGTTTTTCTAGCTTCTTCCTTCCCTTAATTTACGCTATTAGTTTTTACATATCAGTGTATGTAGTAAGAAACTAATTTATATATTATCATGTACTGATGTACCAGATTGCACAAGCATATGAAAAAGAGATTGAAAATCTGAAGGAGCAAACCAGGAAAATGTTGTTGCTTGCCTCAACAACTTGCAACACTGCCGAAATCCTCAAGTTCATTGACGTCTTGGAACGGCTCGGAATAGCGTATCACTTTGAGAAAGAGATTGAAGATCAACTCCACCTTATTTATACTGTTACCCAAGAAGAGGCAAATGATGATTTGGAAATGGCTGCTCTGAAGTTTCGCCTATTGAGGCAACATGGTTTCAAGATTTCCTCCGGTAATTACTAATTATTCTCTCATCCTTATATATGTTTTCATCTTCTTTTCCTTTTAGGTAAGATTAACTCATTCTTTAAACATAAGCTTCTCTGATATTAAATGACTTTCAATTATAATGCAGACGTTTTTAGCAGCTTTTTGGACACAAACAATAAGTTCCAAGACACGTCCAATGTGAAGGATCTGTTAAGCTTATATGAAGCTTCATTCGTAAGAACACATGGTGATGACCTTTTAGAAGACGCCCTGTCTTTCGCAACCGCTCGACTTCAAGGCGCAGCATCACATATGCAATCCTCTACCACTCTAGAAAAGCTCGTGTTGCACGCCCTCGAACAACCGCTGCACACAGGAATGCCAAGGATCGAAACACGGTTTTTCATTTCAATCTATCAGCAAGAAGATGATTCTCTCAGAAATGACATGTTGCTGCACTTTGCCAAGTTGGATTTTAATTTTCTCCAGATGTTACACAAGCAAGAGCTCAGCGAAGTGTCAAGGTTACATTAATATAATCACCTATACTAGTTGTTACATTCAAATCTATCGAGACACGTTTGCTATTATATAGGCGTCACATTTTTTCAATGATTCTAATTTCGGTATCTTTAATGCATATGCGCAGGTGGTGGAAAGAATTAGACTTTGTGACAACGCTTCCTTATGCGAGGGATAGAGCGGTTGAGTGCTTCTTTTGGGCACTTGCAGTGTATTTTGAGCCTCAGTACTCCAAGGCTAGAGTCATGCTAGCCAAAAATATTTCAATGGTTTCGATCTTAGATGACACATACGATGCATATGGTACCATTGAAGAACTTGAAGTCTACACAGATGCTATCTCCAAGTAAGTTCTAGCTATATTTACATTATACTCCGTATTTTATGAAGACTAAGAATAATTGCAACATATAATAATCTGATCTATTAGCAAGATCGTACGAATTATTGAATCTTATATACACACTTTGATTTGAAATGCTAAGTTCATTCATTTTACATATGACATTAGGTGCGATATTAGTGAAATGGATAGGCTTCCAAATTATATGAAGATAAGCTACAAAGCTTTATTAGAACTTTTTGTAGCGGATGATGCGGATCTCTCAAAGAGCGAAAGATCATATGCCGCTCACCATGGGAAGGAAAGAGTATGTATAATTCATTAATTACTTTTACTATACTTGACAAATAAGGCGTGATTTTAACACGTACCTAGGATGTTTTCTTTTGGACTGTTTTCAGTCCTAGACCAAACCAGATCAGATTAGACTAGACCAGACTTGAACAGAACAGAACAGATCAGACCAGACTTAAACAGACCAAACCAGACTTGGACAGTTATAAAATACACATAGACCAGACGTTTACCAGACCAAACTTGGACAGTTATAGAATACACAGAGACCAGACGTTTATCAGACCAGATCAATCCAGTTCAGACCGGACGAGACCGGACTTAAACAAACTAGGCTGACCAGTAAATTTCAGTCCAAAAGAAAACATCCTTAATTCTTTCAGTTACCTTATATGGGAATGTTAATAATCTTTTATCTACTTTTAAATAGATGAAGGAACTAGTGAGATGCTACTTTATTGAGGCTAAATGGTTTATTGAAGGACATCAACCTCAATTTGTTGAATACTTGCACAATGCATTCATTAGTTGCACATATTACTTGCTTGCCACTATATCCTGCTATGGTGTGGATTCCGCTGATGAGCAAGTGTTCAATTGGTTGATGAAAAATCCAAAAATACTTGAGGCTAGTGTAGCACTATGTAGAACTATCGATGACATAGCAACGTTTGATGTAAGTATTAAATTTTTTAAAATGATTTTGAAAGAACGAGGTATGCGTCGATATACTTCTTTGTCCTCTTTTATATGTTTTTCGTTGTGAAAATCAACTACTTAATCATTTCTATCATATTATTTTCCTAGGTCGAAAAAGACAGAGGACAAGTTATTACTGGAATTGAATGTTACATGAATGAACATGCTACATCACTAGATGGGGCAATGAGAAAGTTTCAAGAACTGGCTACAGTTGCATTAAAAGATTTAAATGAAGGCATTCTCAAGCATACGCCTGTTTCTAGTGATATCCTCTGGCGCATCGTAAATCTGGCTCGCATTGTTTTTGTCGCATATCAGCACAACCAAGATGGATATACTCATCCTGAAAAGGTTTTAAAACCTCACATTATTGCATTGCTTGTCAACTCTCTGCCACTCTAGCTAATTAATAGTTTCTTCCATTTGTAATTTGTTAGCTATCAAGAAAAAATGTCATTGATTTAATTTGTGTCATGTGTGTGTGTAAACTCCCAAAGTTGATCAGTGTATTTTCTTTACTATCGAGAAATAAATAAATTCCTTTGAATAGGCAATATTACTTCTTTTAGTTTCAATATGACATGCATATGGAGAAGATATACTTCAAATCATGCATTGAGAGATTTTCTTTGTATGAAACGTTCCATTCTATAACTTTCATCATTCAAAAGGTTTTCTCAATGTATAACAAGGCTCTTTAAAAGCTAATATTGTGAGAATTTTATACAATGACAAGAGTAAAATCTGCAGTAGCATATTTAATTAATCTATCCACAAAACTTTCTAGCAGTGTAATAACTCCATTTGCCTGAGTTTATCCTTTGCAGAAAGTATGTAGTCAAATTAGAGTGCATTGAAAACTCTTAGATATCAAGTGATACTAGTCAAAGCTACAGATAAAGTTATGTGCAAAAAGCACGTAACGATTCCCCAAGTTTTTGATACGGGAACATAATAACATGATATACTTTTAAATGAATATATATCAAACATTTTATAAGAAACCTCAAAATATGCTTCTTCATATTCATTATTCATCACATATACTTCATAGTCACTACATCTAAGCATGTTATTTGTTTTTCTACATTACCGATCACGAGAAACATATGTCTTGCCTTCGCTTTTTTGGTGTAATAAGGTAGTCTCCGACTCACTAAGGAATATAATGTAGCCCTCCTCTTAGCACCAAGAACTTCCACTATAAAATTTGAAAATATAGGGTTAAGGATGGACAAATGATGAAGTCCAAACCTGATGTCACATAAGGGTTACATCCAAAGGTTTTGTCTAGATTTGGCATGGCTACAACTAAGCCTATTAATATTTAATACTCCATGTGCATCAAACATCTCTCTGTATAGTATTTCGTGTATGCACCACAATCTGAAGCTGGGTATGAGAACATGTCTCGGATCACGTACTCTAATGCGGTATGAAGTCCAATATATATATATATATATATATATGTATATATATATATATATATATGTATATATATATATATATATATGTATATATATATATATATATATATGTATATATATATATATATATATATATGTATATATATATATATATATATATGTATATATATATATATATATATATATGTATATATATATATGTATATATATATGTATGTATATATATATGTATGTATATATGTATGTATGTATATATGTATGTATGTATATATATATGTATGTATATATATATGTATGTATATATGGGAAGGGTTGTAGTGAGAACCTCTCTTAAAATGAGAACCCAAATTTGAGGTGGTTCCCGGTGGTTTTTTTGTCTGAAATTTTTTGTGCATGTTTCTCATCAAGTCTAGTTCATCCATACCAAATGACCGGAGTCATTGCGGCCGGAGTCACTATGAGTGATGAAGGAGGCGGCGGCGGCGCTGGAGGAGGCGGCGACGATGGTGCTGGCGTTGCATGAAATTTCTTAAATTTCTTGGTAGTCACTATCACCGGCGGAGGGGATGAAGCACCAGTGTCCAGTGATGGGAGCGGAGCACCGACGGCGGAAGCGGAGCACCGGTGGTGGGGGCGGAGCACTGGTGGCAGGGGATGGGGGCACCGGCAGAGGGTGAATCAAGGCTGGATGGCAGCTTTATTACTAAAAATGTATTTTAAAATAATAAAAGTAATACTCCGTGTGAAATGAAATAAAGAGTAGTTTGGTCACATTTGTGGAAAACTTTAACGACAGTCATATTAATGTCTTTTGTCTTTCGGTTAGTAATATTCAAATAAAAAGGCCTACTTAAATAGGCTCTGCCTATTTAGACAAAAGTCTAACCTAACCGGTTTCGAACCCTAATCATAATTAAACAGTAACCAAATGAAGAAAAGGTAAATAATAGTCAGGGTGCATTATACTTTCTCTAATGAAATGTCTACTAAACACAAATCTCCAAAGTTTACAAGTGAAAAGTAAAAACATCAGTACAGTTGCAGTTTCTGAGTTTCATATATTCTTTATAACTTCAGAAGAATGTAAAAGAGAGAAATGTGCATGTTTTATACAAATGACCATTATAAACGTGCTTCACTCACTTTCATAATCATCTTCATCTCCAAATGTGAACACAGAAGCATCAGCAGCCATGATTTTGAAATCACTTATCCCAGTATTCGAGACTTCGGGCCCTGAGGGGCTTGGTCCCACATCATCATTCTTCTTCTGCTCATTATGTTTCATCCCTGAATCTCCAAGTGTTACTTGTTCCGTCTTATGCGTTAAAGTAGAGATTTGGGGTGTTCCCGTTTTATTACTGTTATTATTATTCCCAGAAGAGGATTCAGAAGCAGCAACAGTGACTTGTTTTTCTTTTGACTTTCCTGTTTCCCCAGCCTCATTATCAGAAAACACATCATCCTTCTCATTTCTTCCAACTGATTGTTTGTTTGAGTTTGTCTCATCGGGTCCGTCTGGCCCAGTGGGAAGATTGGCGCTTTGACCAGATGATTTACTAGTGACATCAGCTTCTCGTTGAGATGTCTTTGCAAGAACAGTGTCATAGTCCTGGAGCACAATTTCCACTTGGAAACCAGGTGATGGTAGTTTTCTCTGGTAAAGAATGGTCTACTATATAAGCAAAATAAGAACACAAAACTCTGAATTGTCAACATTGGTAAGCAACTACCTTGTCAAACCCATCAAGATCGCTAGTGTTGAGGATTTTCCTGTTCTCAACCATTGTTGTGTTTAACCAGCTTAAAAGGAAGAGGAACAAGACAGCAGACCATAGCAAAAGAAGTTAGATCATCTCTCGAGAAGAGATTGAATTACTACATCTTCTACAATATGTAATTTGAAGTATTCTCTTCTTTCTAATCCAATATCCTGAAAGGGTATAGGAGCTAGGCAGACAAAGGCATGATGCATGTAGGCCTACACATATAATTTTATACATTTATATCTTCGTATAAACCTCTTATAACCTGTAATATTTTTAAAATCCGAGTCAAAATGTATATTAATTTTACATGACAAAATTAATATTATGAAGATAATTAAATATTTATATTAAGGATTATATACTTAATATAGAACCTAAAAGCCATCTCAGTTTTTATGAGGGTATAACGAAACACCTTCATTTTGATCGTAATTGTCTGAGTCAACCCCTCACAAAAAGTGCAGTTTGAGAGGTTAGACATTTCATCTACATGTGATATGTTGTGGGCTTGAGTCCTTAAACTTGAAACCACTGAGATTTTCTTAAACTTCGAGTTAGTAAAATACCAGTAAAAGTCTCCCTGCCGATCACTAAAATGAACTTTAAAATCCCCAGATAACTCTGTAAGGCCGGGCTCCCCAGGAAGAGCAAAAACCACTACCCCTTTTCTCGGTGCACTAAACCAATAGTCTTCAGGCTGCACAAATGAAAATAGAAGGTACAAACTTCAATCAATAGCTAAATTAATACTACTATCACAAGTTCTTTAGCCCAGTCATCTTCTAAGACCCACTGGGTTCCACTGCAACAGAATTTTGTATCACATAGTACAGTGCCTTGTGATGATTAATGGAATGATTTATCAGAAAACTATCCACAAATTACAAGACCTACCAGCATATCCTTAGTTCTTGGGTGTTTCTTTGATGAAAAAAGCACACCTACGAAGAAATAAAACATTTTAGAATAGAGAACAGAAGAATTCAATTAATACAATAACAATATAAATAATCTTACAGTAATGTCAGCAATAAGATGATACAATTTATTATAGCTTGAATGTGTGTATGAATGTATAACTCACCATTATGATCAGAGACTGTAATCGAGGGCCTGATCCAATAAGGGCATTTATGGAGTCGAAATCCCCTTAGCATGCACCTGCAATGATGTCATTGAGCAACCACAAAAAAAACACCAGATGTGATCCGTGGATAGCAAATTAGCAACAGAAATAAATTCACATAAATTCGCCTTGTTTGAATGTGCTTGTTTCCCTGATTACAGGAAACTACCAATTTTGCAGAGGAACGGTATCATTTCCATAAGAGAATCCGAAAGCTGAAAAATAGAATGTAACAAGGCAGTTGACCTTGGTCAGAGATAAACTTACCTGCGTGCAGGCTGGTTCTCTCCATTGAAGTACATTAAGATACGTTCAAAATACTTGACATACCTCTATCACAAAAAGAAGCCAGTGGTGAGAAATCTTTAGTAAATAGATGAGGGAAAGGGTTAAAACCTTTTCTGTTTCACATACAATCTGACTTGGCAGGACAAGGCCTTTCCCATCAATGCACCTTTTCTGGTTGTAAGAGTTAATACATTCCTCAGCTGTCGGGAAGAACTGCATGAAGATATGATGAAACAAAACTTATTCCCACAAATAAATGTCCAGCACAAACAATATACACCATATCAGTAGAGCAAATATATAATGCACCTTTAAATACAAAAGAAGACTTGAGATCATCAAGCCAGTCCTTGCCATTCCTGCCTTACAGTGAACAACCACAACATTTTCAATATCTTCCTTCAACCATGAATATGCACTTTGACAAAACAACATTATGAGTTGAATTGGAGGACAGTTGTGGTCATCAAATGGGAAACTAGCCACCTGGAGATATATCAAAGGACATGTAAATTATGATACAACAGTAACAGAAATGCTCATTTCCCTTTATATGAAAATAAGATAAAATTTTCTGAAGAGGAACTGAAAACACACCTTCCCCTCGAACAATGATACATCATACAATCTCTCAGAACAAAGATTGTACACTTTGTATTTGTCCTACAAAATGGTTGTTATAGAGAACAACAAAAGATTTCCCGTGAATGGATACATTAAACATAAAAGAAGATTGAAAAAAAGAACTTTAAAAACAGACAATGTGTGACACTCAATGATCATAAGAAATATAGATTACACAAAATAGATAGGATAACACACGAGCATACCTTATGATGAGTCTCAAAAAACTTGATCACTTCTTCCATATGGTTTCGATAGAATCCCTATATCCCAAAGCGTTTCAATTTAGTACTAATTACACAATGCAAAAGCGGTTGATTATTTCTAATTGTTGTGAAACACAATTTGCTCACCTCAACATACCCAAAAAATCCGGAGCTCATATCGCCAGCCGGGAATCCCATGGCAATTATATTCTCAGTAATGTATGTCAAATCTAAATCAAACCCACCTTCCTATGAAAAGAAACTGTACTGTAAGATCATAACCATGCATGAAACATTTCCAAGCAAATAAAGTATGATCATCCAAATGTCATACAAGGAAATTGCAAGATGCTCATACACTTTCCAGATTAGGGCAGCTTTTTCATATGTCAGATTTAAGGAAACAACTCACCTGGTATCTTCGTTTATTTTGAGAAACAACATGTCTAGCCTTGACAGACACAGCCTTTACTGCATTCTTGGAAGAGTCAACTAGTCCTTTGGTAAATGTTCCTAGAAAGCTAGATTGGAGATTGGTTGAAGTTCCTTCAGAATTGTCTTCTGTAGGTGACTTTGGAGATGAACGCATTCCAAACCCACTAGTGAAACGAGCAAACGATGATTTTGCTGCACTTCCTGAATCCTCATCATCTTGAGCTCCTGTGAATGGTTGAGGGATATTTAAACTTTTAGCCCAAGTGGATAGCTTAGAAGGTCCATCCTGTGCTGGTGCAGAGTTCACATTGGAGCTTGGGACATTAGTAGTTGTGGGAGGATGTGCATTTGATACATTAGATGCTTGTGTATCCATTGTGCTGGCCAAAATGCTCAAATGACAACTTTCAAATAAATGTTCATCTGGTTATCGCACTTAACTTTCCATCGAATCTGATGAAGCTACATTACACATAAGAAAAGAAATTAGAGAATCACAAAAAAAGAACATTTAATACACAGGTATTAGAGTTAGTTGCATTTTACCCATTGAAAAAATAGGGGAGAATCCACTGGGAGGAGCCTCATCTCCCCTCTCCATTCCCAATTGGACAATTTTCTATGAATCAGCTGTATAGCCTATGAAATCTTTTAGTGTGCTAAAGGAAATGTTTGTTTGTAGAAGCTGAAAGATTCACTACCTCATAAGTCATAAGTCATAACGGCACATTAGTAAACAAAGGACACGATGCAAAGTACACTGATCTTTCCAATACGACTTCACTGAAATAATAATTCGTTCTTTCTTTCAGCTCGAAATTCTAAATCACGTGGGACCTCGTCTTCAAATAATAGCTCTCAGAAACTGAATTTTAAACGGGGAAATGGTGGAGCAATGGAGGCTATAGATTACAGGATTAGTCCAGGAAAACCCCTAATTGTTAATCAAATCATATTAGCAAATTCCAACATAATTATAAAACCGGATCCGAACTTTTCATTGGGTTTTGAAACACCTAAAACAAAACAAAAACAAATCTAATTGCATAACCAGAAAATTAAGCAAAAAACTGATGCACGCGCAACAAAAGAATCTTTGAACTTCGAGGCTGACTAGTTTAAGAGCGAGCTACCTCAATAGCGTATGGAATTGGCCGGCGATGGGAGAGGATTTCTTTGTGTTGAGCCGCCTCCCTAAGTTTCGCGATAAATAAAATTCAAGTGCAGAAACCAATCAAACCATAATCTTCGCAGAAACTGGGAAAGTGTAAATAAAGTGTGTTTGTTTGGATAAAGAGGTAATTATACATTCGTACAGTTTTATATTATATGGAGTAATTGAGTTCAATAGATTTCTTAAGCCTTGTTCCAGAATCTAACCCAAGTCAAATAAAATGAGTTTAACACCATATTATACACCCTCCAATCCTCCATCCCTTTGACAAAAAAAAAACTCCCTCCACCTCAAATAAATTTTGACTTTTGATTTTGGAACGATATTCTAAGAGCTCAATTAATAGAAAAACAAATGTATTTCATGTCCTTTGACTTTATGGCTAATTAATGGCTTAATGATATTCAATCAAATTCAAAAAATGTGTGGATAATGAAGGGTTGTTAAGACAAGTAATGCTAAAGGGGTTCTGGATTACTCTATGGTTCATATGACTACTCTACACCGACGGATGCCTACATTCTCACATTCCTGGATTCGTCTTTTTATCGTGCACAGCCGCCATTTGTCATCTTTCTTATTTAGTTGTTCCAAAAATTTTACCACTTTCCTTTTTATCAATCAATTTGTGGTTGTTATCATTTGTCTCTCCTCTAGACAAACATCAAACACATAGTTTCACTTTATTTTTATTCCCAGTAACGGTCAGACTTGATAAAGTTTGATAAAGACAGAGGGAGTACATAGTGTCTATTGTACTATGTGATATTATTGTACAAAAAATGCGACAATAAAATGATAAATTCACTAAATTGCTACAATAATCAGTCAAATGCAACATACTAAATAATGTTATATTTAATATAAATTCACTAAATTGCTACAATAATCAGTCAAATGCAACACACTAAATTGCTACAATTTACATTTATTGCAACATTTCGCATATGCTATATATAAAAGCAATACTTTGTTATAGTGCCTAACAGACATCAGAAATGCTTGGTGTACATACCCTACAAAATTGTCTGTATACAGACAACTTTTTCTGCATAGACACACAATGTGTGTGAATGGTGTACACAAAATGGTGTACAGCGCCGTGGTTTTGAAAAGCGTTTAGCCTTTACGCACCTGAGACTCAAAGGTGTTTATGCGTTCGGTAAGAGCCTGGAAGGCTTAAGCCTTATCTTCTGCTAACAAGGCTTACGCCTTTGTTTTGCTGAGGCGTTGAAAAGGCCTAGGGCGCAAGTCGCACATGAGGCGTTCGCCTTTGATTTACCCAAATTGGGCTTATTTTTTTAAATTATTGGGGGGCTCAGTTTTATTTTCATCCTAAATTGCAAAGTACTTGGGTTGTTTATCAATTAGTCAACCCTAGGTCCTCTCCAGTGGCGGAGTCAGAAATTGATGATTAAGGGGGCCGAGCTTTGAGGATTTTACATTTTCGGGGCCAAAGTTTAAAATATCAACATTTTTCTCTAGATTCAAAGTATTTATACATAATATATACTTAAGATTTTTTTTCTTGCAGGTGCCAAGGCCCCCTCCGGCCCCTCCCTTTCTCCATCCATGGTCCTCTCTTATCCGCTGGTCTTTCAATCCGCAATCACTGTATTGAATTTATTATTGTATGTGCACGCATTTATTAATAAAATAATTTTCAGTACATTTATTTTTTCCGTTGCTTTTCAAAAAATAAATAATTACATATTTAAAAAACAATTTCATTTAATAAATTCAATTGAAATTAAAGTATATCATGTTTAAGGAACAATATGTGTTTTAAAAATTAAATAACATGTAAAAAATCTATAAAAAAAACTATTTGGAAATTGGAATTGGGGGATCCGAAATTCAGAATGGGTTTTAAAAAATTAACAACCCTTGTTCGGAAATGCCATTTCCGAGTACCACACACCTTAAAAAACCTAACCTTATTCGGAATTGTCATTTCCGAATAGGGTTTTGCACTTAGAAAACACCCTATAATTTGTTTATATCTTGCACATAAATACAAGACCCTCTTGGCTCTCATTCTTCAAGGTATGCCAACTTTAAGCACATAATCAACTTTTAGGATGTGTTTGGGAGTTGCTTTTTGGAGGGGAGAGGAAGACATGTGAGGGAAATAAACTCTCATATTTGTGTTTGGGAGTTCACATAATATGAGGGAAAAGTTTTGAAGGTGTTATAAAATCCTTTTAAACCCTCTAAAACCTGGGTTTTCTGATTCCCCCGATTTGAGGGTTTTCTAGGATCTAGCTATAAAATTTTTATGAGATGTGTTACTCACTCCATTTCTCCGCCGCTGGAACCCCTCAAGTCCCAAAAGTGACCTCTTTTGAATTTTGTAACTCTCTAACAAGAGGATGGGATCTCTTTCATCTCCCTTCCCTTCCCCTCTCTACTCCCCTTCAAAGCCTTCTTCGTCCACCCTCAAACTCCCAAACACACCCTTAATCATTCTTCTTCATGAAAGAGCATGTCAATAATATAATGCCACTATAAATTGAAGTTTAATGAAAATAAATCCAAGTAAAGCTATAGGCCTTCAGTTCATATCGAACTTGTAAGCACAAATTAAAGAAAATCTAACTAATAAAACTATATTTACATTTTTTATCAAACGTTTATGTGATATATCTCTTTAAAAGTACTTGAGCATCTCTGTCCAAATCGGTGATTTTGGTATGGCAGGTCTTCTCCTGTATGCTCTTACCTTCATCGGGCTCCCCTCACTCTGTCACATTAAACAAAAAATACATACGGAGTAAATCTCATTTTGAACTAATTTAATTATAGATGAACAAAGTAAATAATCGTTCAATAGAGTGAACATTGCAAATCAATTACTCGATCTCTCATCCTTTTTAGTGTATGTTTGACGGACATAAGTTACTATCTTTTAAATTTTATACTATTTAAAGTCTTTAAACGTTTATAATTGTATATTTGGCACACAAGAAATTTTCAGAGCTTTTCTAAAAATTTAAGTCTTTTTTTAGATGCTACAGTTAGTAGCATCTGAGAAAAAATTTGTAGCTATTAGCATTAAGTAATAACAAAAGCTTGTTATACCAAACAGAACTAAAACAAACGGTCAACTTTTTACCGAACAACTTCAAAACATACCCTTAGTTACTAAAGGGCTCACAAAAGTATCGTTTCAGCTAGTCTTGCAAAACATACCTTTAGTTAGCCAATTTTGAATTTTGAAGTCAACAGTGTCAGACTTTAACCTAATATATTTGTAAATGGAAATATTTATAACATGGAAATCACGTAAAAATGTTAGGTAGTATTTCTTAGAAATTTATCAAAGGTATAAAATTCATCAGTTTTGCATAAATGTACTATGCAGTACTTAAAATGGTTGAGTAAAATTTACTACTATTTCCGTCCCACTATGTTTGAGACAATAGAGCCTAGCACAACTTTTAAGAAGAAAAAATGAATTGTGTGGTAGATATTGGATCGATAATATGTGAATAAAGTAAGATGAACTGTAATCACTCAAATATTATCAAATATACTACGAGATAAACTTAATGGGACGGATGAAAAATGTAAAACCGGATAAAGTTAGGAGAACCATAGATAAGGTTAGGAGAAAGTATCAAATTAAAGTTAGCAAAATGGATGGAAGTAATAATAAATAAAGAGAAAAACAAGATTCTTACCATGCGGCAAGTGCCCTCGGCTACATCACACACAGGGAAGTCTTTCGGGCAGCAGCTGTAGTTATCATCACAGCAAGTGGCGGACTCGAGCGGGCAGCATCCCCAGCCCAAGCAGTAACTACCGTACTTGAATATACAGCAGCACGTGCTGCCGGCCGTGCAGCTGTAGTAGCCGTCACAGACGGCGGGAGGTTGCTCGGGCGGCGGCGGACCGTGATCAGGTTTCGGAGGAGGGTTGGGGCCATTCTTGAGAGGATAAGATGCCTCCATGGCTATGCCACATTTGCCAGTGGCAGTGTGGTTCAAGTTTCGCTCCAGTCTGATGTATCCATGTTCACCCCAATTTGGTCCCCATGAATTCTTCACTATCCAATAATCATGTCCATTTTCTGTCCCATATCCAACCACAACCACGCCATGATCTAGTTCTGTACCACATATCCCGGTAAAAACACCCTATATAAGGTAGAGAGACACGTGCAATTAATGGTCGGAAATGAGTGTAACATGGAGTGAATTGTGACAGTATGTTGTATGTTTGAAGGAAGTAATTAAATCATAGGTGACTCAAACAATTGAAGAGAGTTAGATCCGTCCCGTGACCTCACTAGTACAAAAAATGTCTATTCTAGTATACATTTCGTAGCATCGTAGAAATTGCTACAATATAATATGGAGTACTTCCTTCGTCATCTTTGTCATCTTTCTTTTTTTAGTTGTCTCAAAGATTTTATAACTTTCTTTTTTATCAATCAATTTGTGGTTGTTATGATGTTATCATTTCTCTCTCCTGTACACAGACATCAACCATGCAGTTTCACTTTATCATTATTCTCCGTAACGGTCAAACTTGGTAAACTTTTAAGGACGAAGGGAATACATAGTATCTATTATACTACGTGACATTATTGTACAAAAAATGCGACAATAAAATGATAAATTCACTAAATTGCTACAATAATATATTGTAACATCAGTCAAATGCAACATACTAAATAATGCTACATTTGATATATTGTTACATTTTTACACTTATTGTAACATTTTGGATATGCTATAAAAGATATACTTTGTTGTAGTGCCTAACGGGCACCAGAAACGCTTGGTGTAAAGACCCTACAAAATTGTCTACATAGAGACAATTTTTTCTGCATAGACAGACAATGTGTGTGAATGGTGTAAACAAAATGGTGTACACCACCACGATTGTCTATCTATATATAGGAACACAGGCAACATATATATAATATATATATATATACATATACCGATTCATATAACTGGAATGCCCTTCCACCAGCTTCAACTGCAACACTAACAGGTTGATGTGCTACAGCCTTCATCAGCGATTTTTCATCATTTTCAGGAACATCCTCGTACCCATCAATGGAAACAACGTGTGCACTTTCCTGGGACAAAATTTTAATTAGTGAGACACATCAAACTAATAATTAAACCAAAGAATTGATTAAGAAGTAAATACAAAGTCAAGCTCCTCCCATGCATGCATTATTATAAGTGTAAAATCTTACCCTAGATGGATCACATGTACCCTCACGTGCTTTATAAGGGTAGTCTTCTTCAGAGTCAATGCCACCATTTTTGACGATGAAATCATAGGCATAATCCATGAGACCGCCATTGCATCCCATGTTGTAAGTCTTGTCACAGTCAACCAACTCTTGCTCAGACAATGAGATTAAATCGCCTGTTACAATCTGGTTTATTCCCTCAACAGCACCCACCGTTGAAAACGCCCAGCAGCTCCCTTAATAAGTTGTTCCAACAAATTAAAAACAATCATCTTACATACCCACAAAAGTTCAATAATATACTCCATGGACAAGAGTAAGGATGTTTTTAATTGAATGCGTTTCAGACTAAACAACCCAGCTTGCACCAGATAAGACTCTTACACCAAACTTCAACAAGAGTAAAATACACATAAAACAGACACCTACTAGATTAGTCGAGACTAGATCTAATCATATAAGAAAATTTCAATCCAATTAACATACGAGTATCACACATTTATCATAAATTGCCTTTGTCCCAAAAAGAGTGACCAAATTGACTTTTCTTGGTCGGTGGAGTTAAATTTAGACAATGATTTTAGGTATTACTCTCTCCTTCCCGATTTAGTTAGCCAAACTTGACTTTTCAAGTCAATGCTGTCTAATTTTGATCGATTATATATTTATATATATAGAGAAAGTATTAATAATATGAAAATGATATGAAAATGTTCCTTTTTAAAAATACTATTGAGTACTATGTATCATAAAAGTATAAAACTATTAAATTTTGCATAAATATATTAGTTAAAATAATTTGTTAAAGTTTATTATCTTTGACTAGAAAAATTAAGATTGGCTAACTAAAGCGGGACGGATCGGAGGTAGTATATTTGTATGTAATTTATAAGTTTTATACTTTTATGGAAGACTTTTTAATAAAGAATATGCTCATATTTTAAATAATTTTATATTAAAAAATATCGTTGGTCAAATTTGACCACCATTGACCAAGAAATGTCAATCTGACCAATTGTTTTGGGACGGAGGGAGTATTTCTCTTTATTTATTAAGACACGAGATATCATGTCGCGCGTGCTCCTACATACTAGTAGCAATTTCATGAATGAGATAAAATTATTAGGAATCTAGCTAAAAATGACATTGATTTGTAAAATATGACTAAATTGTTTTTCCCTAAACTAACAACATTTCGCAAGTAGGGTAACTCGTACAATAAGTTAACATTCTTTGATAAGGTTACTATACATGTTTAATTAAACTGTGGAGTCATATACTAGCACTACTACATTTTTAGACCTAATGTAACATTAATGATGTAACATATCTATAATAATGTTACCTATTTCTCTAATGTAACACTTTTTAGATCTAGTGTAACACTTTCTAGAAGTATAAGTGTTACATTAGGTACTATAAAGTGTTAGAATAGGTCAAATGCAACACCACCAAATGTAATGGTAAAACAATGTTACATTTTCTCTGGAAAGTGTTACAATAGAGAAAATGTAACATTTTTTTACCATTACATTTGGTGGTGTTGCATTTGACCTATTGTAACACTTTATAGTACCTAATGTAACACTTATACTTCTAGGAAGTGTTACACTAGGTCTAAAAAGTGTTACATTAGAGAAATAGGTAACACTATTATAGATATGTTACATCTCTAATGTTACATTAGGTCTAAAAATGTAGTAGTGTAGTATTAAGAATCTATGATTTTTTCACACACAAAAGTAATTCTTCATATAATAATAAGAATGGTAAATTTACAATTTCGGGTCAACTATTACAAAGGAATAAGAAATTTCCTCCAAATAAGAATAGTAAGTTTAAAATTTGATCATGGGAAGTGAGACAGAAAAATAAAGGTCACTAGAAGTCTGTTAAAATAAAAGGATTTCATCATGGTGATAATGAACTGGAGTACTAGAAAACATATCAAAACCAATATAAAGATTTCAGATTCCTAATCATTACATTATAGGAATATCAAACCCTAATTTATAGAACTACACTAATAATGCCATCAGACCCAACCCATTAAACAATCTTGGTCACTATTTTAAGGGAAAATTCCCGAAATAGGAGTAAAAAAGTTCGAAAATTTCAAAATAGGATTGACATGTTTTTATTCCCAAAATAGGAGTCATTACTGACCAGTTTAGAAAATACTGTCAATGTTTAAAGTCTAGTACTGCCAAAAAATGATAGTAATTAGTCCTATTTTGAGAATAAAAATATGATAATCCTATTTTGAAATACACAAACGATTTTAGTCCTATTTTGGATAATTTCTCCTATTTTAACTACAAATCCGTTCAAAATCAATGTGCAAAAAGCTTGTACAAATCCATGCATGTCAGCGACGTATATATGTGGAGATACAGAGACGGCAAATAATTAAAGAGAACTTACCGCAGTGACCTTGATCCTTGACCGGGGTAACGGCGCCGTTTTGTCTCCAATCCACAGATCCCGGCAGCTCGTCGCCGTCCAAGAAAGCATATCTGTTTCTCCCGACGGCGGCGCGGTTCGCCCGACCGGTCGTCCTATCCATCCTTCCCCGGACAAACATGGTCCGGTACTCATAGTTGGTAAGATCCGCGAACCGGTTCAACCCGACTCTGTAACTCCGGCCCTCGACCGAGTTATGCTCGTCAATGAAGATCAAGTTATCCTTAAAAACCTCGAAACGCCTCTCCTTCTCTCCAATGGCGTTGTAGTTCTTGCGGTGTTTCACGAGCCACGACTCGTAGATTCTCGTCACCTCCTCGTCGGAACGGAGGCGGGAGGCTCCGGACGCGCTGTGGCGATCGCCGTAGTCGATTATGGACATGTCTAGGGCAGACGAGAATACTAAAAGCACGAAGACAATACATAGGGGGATCTTGAAAGAAGCCATGTTTGGAATTTGAGTACGTATAGTAGTTTCAGATTGGGGTGGAGATTATTATATAAATTTGAGTCTGGATTCGGATGAAGATCGCAGAAAGCATTGGAGTTTGAGAAGGCGAAGGATAACTCCGCAGAAATGGGACGGCTAAGGGGTTGCTTTGCGCACCCCGTTTATACTTTACTTAACCCTATAATGACTTTATTGACCGATAAATTCAAATTAATTAAAATTGATGTTTAGTAGTTATTAGATCACACGGCCTGCCATATACGGAGTACTATACGGAGACGGAGGAATATACGGAGTACTATACTATACCAATTTTAAATTCTCTCCAATTTGCTGCCGTGTGATAAATTATTCTTTTTTTATAAAATGTTATAACTCTTTTGTACTTTAATTTTTATAAAAATTATATCAAAATAAATAACTTTTTATGATCTACGATATGAAATCCATATTACATATGTAAATATTGAAAAAAAAAATTGATTAGATATATGATGGATTATAGGGGTATCCAAACTATAACAAAATGGAGAGATTTGAGCTAATGTGAGGAAGAAGATGAATGAGTAGTAATGAGAATTAGAGTTAGGGTTTACAAACTCCAAAAGGAGTATATATAGAAGAAATCCGGGTTTGGGCCTCTAATATGGGCCTGACAGACCCGGTTACATAAATGGACTGATAATATAAAAGACTAATCTTGAACATCTGAATAATAATAATGTACAATAATGAAAATGCTATCAGTTGAGTGTACCCGGGGGTCCGAGTTTATACACTCTATCAGGAGTCCCCCACTCCCTGAGTCGAGAGTACTCGAGGCAAAAGGGAGTAGAACTGTGTGCTGATCTATCGTCTGATGAGTAAACTTCGTGAAAAAAATTTGAATTTCTACTTCTTTGGTTAACAGAGGCGCTAAGTCTCCCGCTCTTCCAGTCCCCCACTCCTTGAGGTGAATGTAGTGAGGTGGAGAGGAGTAAGTAGTGTGTGTCTTGAATAGGGGGCCGAGGGTCAACACCTTTTGATCCACAATGGGGAGATGCCTCGTTAAAAACCTCATTAGGAAAAAACCCTGTGGGAAAAAATCCTAATGAGGGAAAAAGAGTACACCGGATGCCCCCAATATGAAGCAAAAGGGGTGAGCCCTTCGGCCTAGGTGTGGAGCTGCAACGGTGCCCGTCTGCTACAAGGGTGGCCGATACCAGTCTCTAGATGTGAGCAGCTCGGCATGATAAGTAGTCCTAGTCATCAAATAAAGATGACTAAGAGATAGGTCGAGTGACCGTCCATAATGTGATGTCCGGGTCATCAAATAAAGTGACCAAGACATGTGGCCGAGAGACCTATAAGAAGTCCAAGCCATCAAATAAAGATGACCAGGAGAGACAGCCAAGTGGCCGGTATGATGAGCTCCACGTCATCAAATAATGATGACGGGGTGATGCATGGTCGAGGTGTCCGGATGAGAGCTCCACGTCATCAAATAAAGATGACGGGGCGATGTATGGCCGAGAGGCCTGTATGAGAGCTCTACGTCATCAAATAAAGATGGCGGGGCGATGTATGGCCGAGAGGCCTGTATGAGAGCTCCATGTCATCAAATAAAGACGACGGGGCGATGCATGGCCGAGAGGCCTGTATGAGAGCTTCACGTCGTCAAATAAAGACGACGGGGCGATGCATGGCTGGTGGGCCTGCAACTGAGCTTCGCCTCATCAAATAAAGATGACGGAGGAAGATATGGCTTAGAGGCCTACAAATGAGTTCCTCGTCATCAAATAAAGATGACAAAACGATATGTGGCCGATGGGCCTGCAGATGAGCTCTTCGTCATCAAATAAAGATGACAGAGCAACGTATGGCCGATGGGCCTATATGAGAGCCCCACGTCATCAAATAAAGATGACGGGGAGATGTATGGCCGAGAGGCCTATATGAGAGCCCCACGTCATCAAATAAAGATGACGAGGAGATGTATGGCCGAGAGGCCTATATGAGAGCCCCACATCATCAAATAAAGATGACGGGGCGATGTATGGTCGAGAGGCCTATATGAGAGTGCCATGTCATCAAATAAAGATGACGGGGCGATGTATGGCCGAGAGGCCTATATGAGAGTGCCACGTCATCAAATAAAGATGACAGGGCGATGAAATGGCCGATGGGCCCGTAATAAGCTTCACGCCATCAAATAAAGATGACAAAGCGATATGTGGCTGAACTCTGGGCTCCTTTAGCCTTTCAGCCGGAGACCGCAAGATGTTCGTTATATCTGAATAGGGGGACGAGGCGGTGGACGCCTGTCTGAATATGAGGACGACGACGCTGATGAGTCGGTCCGAATACGAGGACGACAGCGCTGACGAGCCGGTCCGAATATGGGGACGATGGCGCTGGTGAGCCGGTCCGAATATGAGGACGAGGCGATGATAAGCCGTGCGTCATATGAAGACGACGGTCACCATCCATGAAAGGAATGGCGAGCCTGGTCGCTAGATAAGGACTTCGGCGCTGGGGGCGGTCTAAATGTGAGGACGAGGCGATGATAAGCTATGTGTCATATAGGGGCGACGGTCGCCGTCCGGGAAGGGATGGCGAGCCCAATCGCTATAACAAGACTTCGGCGCTGGGAGCCGGTCTTGAGATAAATAATCACGTCGAGACCGAGAGGCTGATCGCGATGTGCGGATGGCAATGATGAGGAGTCAGTCCGAAATTTGATGACGAGGCGATGATGGAGCCTATCGTCATATAGAGGCGATAGTCACTATCCAGGAGGGGATGGTGAGCCTGATCACTAGCCCAACACACTCGGCGCTGATGAAGCCGGTGTTGGGATAGGGCGTCACGTCGTGGCCAAGGGGCCGGTCGTGATGCAAGGTCGTCAGCACTATGAGGCTGATCCAAAAGTCCAAGAAACGGTCGGCATCCGATGAAGGAATGACTGAGACCGGTCTTGGGGATAGATAATCACGTCGAGGCCGAGGGGCCGGTCGTGATGTGCGGATGGAGATGATGAGCCGGTCCGATAATATGATGACGAGGCAAGAATGAAGCTGATCGTCATATAATGGCGATGGTCACCATCCAGGAAGGGATGGCGAGCCCGATCGCTAGCTCAAAACTCTCGGCATTGAGGAAGCCGGTCTTGAGATAGATAGTCACGCCGAGGACGAGGGGTCGGTCATGATGCGCGGATGGCGATGAAAGAAGCCAATCCAAAATATGATGATGGGGCAATGATGAAGCCGATCGTCATATAGGGGCGATGGTCACCATCCAGGAAGGGATGGCGAGCCCGATCGCTAGCTCAAGACTCTCGGCGCTGAGGAAGCCGGTCTTGAGATAGATAATTACACTGAGGCCAAGGAGACGGGCGTGATATGAGGACGATGACGATGAGGGGCCAGTCCAAAAATCCATGCAACGGTCGTCATCCGGTAAAGGAATGACTAAGACCGGTCTCGAGATAAATAATCACGTCGAGGCCGAGGGGGCGGTCGTGATATGAGGATGAAGGCACTGAGGGGCCGGTCTGAAGATCCAAGCAACGGTCGTCATCTGGTAAAGGAATGACTAAGACCGGTCTCGAGATAAATAATCACGTCGAGGCCGAGGGGGCCGGTCGTGATATGAGGACGAAGGCACTGAGGGGACGGTCCGAATATCCATGCAACGGTCGCCATCCAGTAAAGGAATGACTAAGACCGGTCTCGAGATAAATAATCACATCGAGGCTGATAGGCCGGTCGTGATGTTCGGATGGCGATGAGAAGGAGCCAATCCGAAATATGATGACGGGGCGATGATGAGCCGGCCGTCATATAGAGGCGATGGTCACCATCCGGGAAGGGATGGCGAGCCCGATCGCTGGCTCAAGACTCTCGGCGCTGAGGAAGTCGGTCTTGAGATAGATAATCACGCTGACGCGGAGGGGTCGGTCATGATGTCCAGATGGCGATGAGAAGGAGCCAATCTGATAATATGATGACGGGGCGATGATGAGCCGACCGTCATACAGGGGCGATGGTCACCGTCCAGGAAGGGATGGTGAGCCCGATCGCTGGCTCAAGACTCTCGGCGCTGGGGAAGCCGGTCTTGAGATAGATAATCACGTCGAGGCCGAGGGGCCGGTCGTGATGTCCGGATGGCGATGCTGAGAAGCCAATCCGATAATATGATGACGGGGCTATGATTGAGCCGATCGTCATATAGGGGCGATGGTCACCATCCAGGAAGGGATGGCAAGCCCGATCGTTGGCTCAAGACTCTCGGCGCTGGGGAAGCCGATCTTGAGATAAATAATCACGCCGAGGCCGAGGGGCCGGTTGTGATGTCCGGATGGCGATGCTGAGAAGCCAATCCGATAATATGATGACGGGGCGATGATGGAGCCGATCGTCATATAGGGGCGATGGTCACCATCCAGGAAGGGATGGCGAGCCCGATCGCTGGCTCAAGACTCTCGGCGCTGAGGAAGCCGGTCTTGAGATAGGTGATCATGCCGAGGCCGAGGCCGAGGGGCCGGTTATGATGTACGGACGTCAACACTGGGAGGCCGATCCGAAAGTCCATGCAGCGGTCCTTATCCATAAAGTGAGAGGATGAGGCCGGTCTTCAGAGTATGATGATCACGCTGAGACCGAGGGGTCTGCCGTGTTGATATAAAAGACCGCGTTGAGACCGAGGGGTCTGCTGCAATGTGAGGATGACGACGGTGATGAGCCGTTCCAATAAATTATGACGAGGCAATGATGGAAGCCAATCGTCATATAAAGGCGACAGTCGCTTATCCGGGAGGGGAATAGCGAGCCCAATCGCTAGCTCAAGACTCTCGGCGCTGAGGAAGCTGGTCTTGAGATAGATAATCACGCTGAGGCCGAGGCGCCGGTCGTGATGTCCGGATGGCGATGCTGAGAAGCCGATCCGATAATATGATAAAGGGGCGATGATGAGCCAGTCGTCATATAGGGGCGATGGTCACCATCCAGGAAGGGATGGCGAGCCCAATCGCTAGCTCAAGACTCTCGGCGCTGAGGGAGCCGGTCTTGAGGTAGATAGTCACGCCGAGGCCGAGGGGGTGGTCGTGATGCGCGGATGGCGATGCTTAGAAGCCGATCCGATAATATGATGACGGGGCGATGATGGG